TATTATAATTTAATGCTAAAAGAAAGTAAGTTATGAAATACTGTTTTATTTTTTTTAAATTTGTTTATTATTTAATGGGTTGCGACCAGAAAAGTGTCTTAAATTCTACTTAATTAATTTGTTGTTCAATATATATATATAAAATAAATATAAGTATAATATTTTTTATTAAAATCAAGCGGGAATTTTGCCACTCACATCACGAAATGTAAAGAATGTGAATGTACAAAATGTTGAACATAGTGGAAAGTGGCTACAACATCGATGAACAAAAGAGTTGGCTTGCAGCCAATGGTTTCCATTGAATACACTCTTCAATAGCTGCACTGATTTCACTGGCTCTTCTGTTGATCATTTCCTTTGATGTCACTTTGCAGAATGACAAAAGGGCATCTCATAGTCGAGCTAACTCAGTTTAAATATGGAATCCAACTTCGATGAACAAATGTGTTGTCTAGCAGCTAATAATATAAATAACTTGCTCTCTTCTAGATGATTTGCTTTGTGTAGACTAATGCTTTCATAGAGAGTGACAATAACCAACTCCCCTAGGGTATCTCATAGCCGAGCTGACTCGAGTTGAAGCCCTCTCTGCTTGCACATTTGATATTCAATGACAAACGCAAACAATGTCGATTGTGACCCGTAAGCCGCCCCACCAGCATCTGCGACAAGCACCTGCAGCGCATAATTTGCAAGCCACCCGAGATAAACTCAAGATCCAAACAACAACAACAAAAAAATAGATATATATATATATATATATATATATATATATGAATATAAGAAAAAACAAAATCGACGATCAAAATAAACAGTGGATAACGTCATTAGCATTTAGCGTGTTAATTTTACTGCGGCAATGACAAACAAACAAGCGTAAATATTGTTTTTATGAAACTTATTAATTAATGTTAAACAAAAATGTGCAAATAAATGCAAGTTTATAAACAATTTTTGTCCGATGCTGCGTAATTAGTGATCAAGAAAAAATGGTTTTTCAAAAGTCATAGAACTCAAGTGTGTAAATTGTGTGTGGGATATTTATCGGATGAGATCATTGCAAGCGAGAGCGACTTAGAATTAATCGCGACATATTTTAAACTATGTAAATATTCAATAATTTTATTCACCACTTTTATAGGCTGTAAAGGCGATAAATATACTTTTACATATTCACAGAACTTTATAAATTAAATGGAAATACTACTATTGAGTAAATTCTTAGAGTAGTTAGTTTTGGGTTAAGTTTTAATCTTAAGATGGATGAGTATATATTTACCTAGTTTGAACTATAGTCTTTAATTATAGCCTAAAATCTTAAATAAATATTTAAAGACTCGTTAGGCGCTGAGTCATATAATTTCCTGTGAAACTAGCTTATCAATCTTGGTATCTTTTAATAACATGTATCTGCCCAAAGAACATTAGCGAAAAGTAAACATTATTTTTGACTTTTTTTTTGGACAAATTCCAACATAATTTATTAATTTATCATTTGTTAAGACGCTAAATTTATAAATCAAGGCGTGTTTGCTGGTTAATCAAATGCCGAAAAAGGAGCTCAAATAAAAAGTAAAAAAAATAAACGAAAAAGTTGCTATTAATTTACAAAATTGAATCCGACGACAGCAGAAATTAAAAAACTAAAACGAAACAAGGAGAAACTAAGAAAAGCAAAGACCACAAATAAATAAAAACAAAAAACAATAACAATTTATGTAAGTCGTGTTAAAAAATAAAAAATAAAATGGTACTATGCGCAGCCAGCGCCTGTATCTGTCAGATACAAATAAAGAATGCCTGAGCAAAGTGTGCAGATACTTTTAACACATACTACAACAACTGCTGGAAGCAACAGCAACAACAAAATAAGTAATAATAAAAAGTATAAAGATCTCGTCAGCCTTAGAGAAGCTGCTTGTGCCTGCTTGCTAGCATGGGAGTCTGAGATACTCGTCGCTGTATCTGTATCTGCAGCTTGCTTGGATGCCACAAAACTGGCTGCCCGACAGAATGCCAGCCTCCCTGCCTGCCTCACTGCCTGCTTGACTGACTCGTCTGCTTTGGCCTGTTCTGAGTGGTTGGCTAACCAAATTCATTTTGAAGTTGCTTCAAAAAATTTTTCGCAGAGGGATTCTTTTTATTTTACTGCTTCTTTTTTTCTTCTTTTTTTTTTTTGGTTGAGCTTGAGAAAAATAAAAATTGATTCTAGAACCAGTTTTTGGCTTTCAACTGTTGAGTTGAGTGTTTTGTTGTTGTTGTTGTTGTGCCTTTTGTGCTTGTTTGTCTCTTTGGACTCTGGCTCTTTTTTAGGCGTTTCTCATCTCCTCTTTGGTTTAGGGATCGCGCATGGCTTTCGGATCTTTTTCTACTTTTTTTTGTCTACATAAAAAGCATATTATATATATATAATTTTTTTTTGTTTTGTATAGTTTGGCGCTTTCATTTTCGTTTGTTTTGGGGCGTTGCAGTCGACGAAATGGTCCATCCATTTAATTAAGCTGATATTTTTCGTATAATTTATGCATATTTTATAAAGAGTAAAAAGGGGGTAAAAAAACGAAATTCGAAAGTTCCCCGCATCAAAACGTGTTTATCAAAAGCGATACATTCAAATTTCTAAGCATCATCTATCAACAATAGATTCACGTTTATTTATATAATTTCCACAGACGCTAAATTTACCCATCAATAACCTTGAGAACAACAAAAATTAATCACTATTAACTGTAAAGCGTAAGTGAGGTAGAAAAAAAAACTTCCACAACTTCCACAAATTGTTTGCTAACAATGCAAAAAAAAAAATGTAAAAAAAATTGCCAAAGTTTTGTGGAAATTGAATGTGTCGGTAATATTTATAGACCAGCCAACCAATTTTATGTGGGAGCTATGCCGAAAGCGTCATATTGTTTAGCCCACTAATGCAATTGTTTCGACTATTTAGATATATATTCATTTTCACATGCCACTCAAAATAAATGACATGCAATGCTAACATTTTTGTGGTATGTACATATATATTTATGAGAATTTCATGGGGTTTGCCAACTACAGTCAGAAATAATTGAAATTATAATACTTAAACGTAACCAAGCGCATTTAATTTAATTATTGTTGTTGTATTCAACTGGGAACGATAGATACTTAAAGTAAGTGATGCATCAGAAAATGAAGATTCTTACAATCGTTATGGGATTGCGTAGAAAACACAAAAAAATTAATTCGTAAACACAGAGATTCAATTAAAAAGCGGAGATTCGATCAGTTAGTTGAGGTCTTCAAATTTGTTGTGGGTCTACCAGGAAATTATCAGCGTAGATCACAGTAACGTCAATAACTGATTAAAGCCATGACGATTAGTTATAAATATGGGTGGAATGTGATTAGTAATGACTTAAGTGGAATTCGAAAAATGCTATGACGAAGATAAATTATTCCCAACGGCGCAAAAAAAAAAATGTATATGTATATAAAAATATAGAAACTATCTTTTCGTGGAAATAACAGGTTCAATTTTAAATTGAGAAACAGCATAAAATTTATATGCTCTGAAATCAATTGAAAAAAATCACTTCGCAGTTCGCTCATCATATTTTTTCAACCAAATATCGCAAATGATGTTATACGGTTAGTTGACTTCAGTTTTGGTAGTTGATCTTATTTAATTAACACATTTGCCTAAAACGCTGATGTATGTGCCAAAAAGAGGTGGTCCATAACGGTTACGCTGCTAAATGCTAAACTTGATCGCTTGATCGCCAAGTTCGTAAATTAAGTTAACATCGATTTGCGAGCGAGCACAGAACGCAATCAACAACTAATCAAAATTAAAAAATAGCCGAAAAAAAAAAACAGGAGAGCTTTTTTTTCAAAGTGAAAAAATAAAAACCAGAAATACACGCGACAAAAATGCACAAAACACAACAAGAAATCAGGTGAAGTAAACCGGTGAATTAATAAAACGAGCGTTGACGAAAAACCTGCTCCAAGCATATCTGAAATTCCAGCCAAGCTTTGAGCATGGAGACTGCTAAGCTGAGCTGCTAAGGAGACGGGTTGTGGCAGGAGGGGTCGGGGGAGTTATGGTGGCACGCCTGCGCCATGAACAAAAAAAAAAAACCCAAGCAAGTTAAAAGCGAATTGTGAATAGAGCGTAAGACATAAAAAAAGGTAAAAACAAAAAAATATATATACTCATATTAAAAATGCTGTATAAAATCGCATGCATGTCGCATTTGAAAAAAAAAAACGCGCTGCAAATGGCCTTATGCAATAGGTTTGAGCGAGGGGCAAGGAGGGGCTGGGGCAGCGGGCAGACTTAGATATATATGTAAGCGTATTTACCAGCCATCAAGTCTATAAGCGGCATAAAGTTAAATAAATCAAAACAATTACATATTATGCAAGCTTATTGCAGCCGTTTGCTGTTGGCCGTTAAAAGCAGTTAACAGTTAACAGGCCAACACACACATACACACATTTTAGCTATGGCTAACTATTTTTGTTTTTTTTTTTTGGTTTTTTTAATGTTTATTACACATTTTGTTTATTTAGCGTGCCGCTTTTAAGGTTGATTGCTCACAAAACTGTGAGCCGCATTGCGTGTGCCAATATTTTATGGCCAACAACAACAAGCAAAAGCGCATCGTTAAATTGTCATTTTTTTAAGGTATTGAAAACTGCATTTTATTTTAATTTGGTGCATTTAATATGTGTATAATTAAGCATTTTGCTTGTGCACAAAAATCGCATTAAATGCCAATTAAAATTAATTATTCCGTTTACAAAAGTATGAATTTTATGTGGTATCTATTCAAAACGAAACAATTTTTCTTAAGGTTTAAGTTTTTTTTTTTAAATTTCGAGCAATTTTTACAATCTTTACAGTCCCAAAAGATTGTGCGCAGGACTTTCAAACTGTGCGACAGTTTGACATGCACAAAGTGTATGTTGCAGTTTTGCACACAACTTGTGACTTCTACGTCTCCTCAACTTACCGCTTAAATAAACAATCCGTTAATGTGTGTGTGTGTATAAAAGTTAGAATGCCCTTGTTATGGTTGCTCTGCTCTTGTTTGTTGTTGTTCACTATTTCCAATTGCTTTATTTAATTGTATTTAATTTTACACAAATTTTGGTGTTATTTAATTTGTGTGTTTCTTTTCGTTTTTCGCATGCACACACATACAGGCACACATGCAAATACGCTCACACACGTATGTATTGGGTATAAGCAAACTGTTGTTTGGAGTCGAAATCAATCAACAACAAAAGATAAGTGCGCGAGAGACACAAACGGAGACGGTGACGCTGACGACGACGGCGACGGTGTCGGTGACGGCGATGGCGAATTGCGAAGATAAAGTGTGAGGCGCATGCGCACGTAAAAATATATATTTTTTTTGTTGCTGCTGCTGCTGCGGCTGTTGTTGTTTTTGTTCCTGTTTTGTGCTTCCACTTCGTCTTGTTTGTATTTTGTTTTTTTTTTTTTTGTGTTTGCTGCTCGCGTAACGCAATCGAAATTCTCGCGCTACAGCGTTTTAACCGTTTTCGCGGGCAAATTGTTACTGATTGTTACCGGGCCAAACGACGCTACTTCAACAGGGCCAGTCACCAAAAGCCACAGGTGAGCAGCTCAAAGCTTGCTAGAGATGGTCGGCTGCTGCGTGACTGAATATCGTTTTGCATAGAAAGAGAGTTTAGACAGAGAGTATTCAAGAGCAGCCTGCGAATTGCTGTAAGTCTTAAGTAGTCTGTAACACAAAGCGATAGATTTGCTTCTTCTTCACTTACAACTATTTTATATTTTGTTTAAATATATATGAATACAAACTATGTGACATTTAACAAAAGAGTCAACAACAGAGACGCTCATCCCTAGCACAAAACTTGAAATGAGAGCGGACAATGAAGTGAGCGGAAGAGCGTCAGCGAAAACAGCTGTTTCTGCTTGGCACATTTACCAAAGCATACTTTTAGGTGCGACTATCAGCGGGTACATACAATTCTCTATATATATTTATATATATGTGTAGACGTATGTATATTGATATCACCCATTCCATTTTATTTGCACATGCTGCGGCTCAGTTAATTTGATAATTCATGCATTCGCTTTCACTTTCACGAGCGTTAATGCCCATTGTGTGTGCATAACTGAGAGTCGCTTATCAGCAGTAGCCACAGTTGTTTCCATTTGACTGCATCATCTGTATAGGCACATCAATTTACTTCAAGGATATATAAGGATATGCAAGTAGGTGTAGCTGGGCAGGCGTCGCAAAACACTCTGATATGATGCTGCTGCTGCTGCTGCTGCTGCATATGTGGACAATATTTTTTTCTGACCAATTCAATGCGATTCCACAAAACAATTGGCATATTTGTAGATGAAGATAATGCCGCTAGACTAGACAGGCGACAAATGATAATAGTACATTTTCACTGGATAACTTGTATTTATGAAAATGTTCATTGCAAAAACTGAATAAGAGTTATTTAATGTTGGTATGAACTGATGATTAATGCTACATTTAAAGATGAAAATACAATTTTCCATATTTTGAAGTTTACTTCGGATTTAATTTGACATACTTGTAGGAGCAAACTTTTATGAAATGTTCAATATATTTTACATTTAATTTAGAATAATCTGTTTAAAGGAAACTTTACTCATTGGCTAACATATAGACCGGCTTAAAGCGTAGAACTCCTTCGTGGTCAGTTAAATATACAACCAAGCGTCTTTTGTGTTGTGTGTGTGTTGACAGTTGTTGACAGGTGGCACTTTGTGTGGTTGCTGACGTGTGTGGCCATATGGCAATGATTGATCGGGGCCAGCATCACCCCTCCCCCTGCTGAGCAGCTTCATGAAATTTATTTAATTTCCGCAGGAGCTGGTGTCCTCTTCAGCAGCCCGCATACGAATTACATTTACCGTATGTAGCAGTGTTGCAGTGAGGCAAAAAAGCCAAAGGCTGCCATCCAAAAATGTACTCAAGGTGATAATGATCAAATACTCAAAAGTACTTTTGCAATGCTCTCAGCGAGAATTTGGCGTATTTTGTTTGGTCTCTTATCGTTTTAATTAGTTTCGTAAAAGTTAGCAAAGCGAAACAAAACAAGCCAGAAAAGGAGAGCGACTTGCTGGAAAGGGAGCAACGGTGGAGGCACTTGGGCAGCAATGTTTGCTTCTATAGCGTAATTAAATTTGCAGCCAAAAATTTGTTGTGCAGGACACACACATGTGGAGAGCAGTGTGTGTGTGTGTGTGTGTCTGTTTGCAAATGGACTTATGAAATTTGCGTATAATTAACAAAACCGGCAAAAGTTCGCAGCACAAATAGCAATGCCAATTGCAATTTTAGCTTTTACACTTTACATTTAATTAAAGTCAGCACGAAAATAAAACATTTTAGGTAAACTTACCTGGCAACTGTATTTATCTTGACTGCAGCGGAGAAATTCGCTTCTAGCACTTTTTATTTTCTGCAGCCCTTTTATTTGCATGCATATTTATAAGAAATTGCGCGAGATTAAATGCAAACTCCTCGCCCCTTGCCCATCTTCGTCGCTGTCTACGTCCAACGTAGAGATTAAGCAAAATACCTGAGCATTTTCTTTTCAAATTTATACGGCTGCAAGCGAAATGCAACTCTGTTGGGGGCAGTGAGCAGTGGAAGGCGGCCATCTTGAGATTTGGCCTCATAAAAAATGTGTGCAGCTGCTAAGAAAAAAATTCTTTAATCCCTTAAGAGCGAGTTTCAGCTAGAAAAGAAAAAAACCCCAAAAAAAATACGCCCACTCAACAAAATACAATCGAACAAGTTGAAAACGAAAAACTCAATCGAATTTGGACCAAAATTGAGGCCAAAAATAAAATGATCTCAATCCACTCGTTGGCCGAAGAGATCGACTTCCTTGGGTCGGGGCTGGGCCAAAGGGAACGAGAATGGATCCGAAAATGAACTTTAATTTCAAAAACCGTGCAAAAATCGTTCAATCATTTAAGTAAAATGCCAGGCGCTCAGCGCCAGCAGCCCGTCGAACTGACGCATTCAATTCAATGAGCAGCGCACAAAAACATAAGAGAGTCGACTACGTCAACCCTCATACAAGCAAAACAAACGTACACACACACTTATACATACGCAAGCAAGCAAACACATGTGTTTCGTGCTGCTTTATTGTTTGTGGTTCTTTGCCTCGCCTCGTCTCGCTCTGCCCTGTGCCGTGTGCCTTGGCGCGGCAGCTGTTCGCCTGCTATCTCGCTTCGTTGCATGGCGTGTGTATTCAACAGTTTTTTCTTGTATTTTAAAACGATCATGCGGGCGTATAGAAATAAAATGTAGAGACGCACACACTGTTGAATCGGTTGCTGGCTGTGAGCTGCTGCGCACCTGTTAGTCGCATGGATCACTTTATCGATTTTACGAATGAAGAAGCAAAAATGCGATCGATTGTGATCTCGAATCGGAATAGTGTACTCGAAAATAATGATCGTGCACAGTCGTCTCGCAGAGCAGCCACACAAAATGAGTGCACCAACAAAAAACATTCAGTGTGAAGCGAGCGGTGAGCAGAGAGCAGCGATTCGATCGCTACGCGGCCATAAACAGGCCACAGCGGCAACGATTTCGCAAGTTGCGATCACATTTTTGAAAAATACCGAAAAAAACAAAAAGTTGAATTGGAGATGCCGGGGATTGAACCCGGGGCCTCTCACATGCAAAGCGAGCGCTCTACCACTGAGCTACATCCCCATGTGAAAAATGCTCAGCTAAATGCCATCAAGTAAGCAGTGCCCTCTGGCTGACAAAGCAGTGCACTGCCTGCGCTGAGGAATTGCCACGTATTTTTATTTTTATTTGTTTGCTCTTGATACAGTGTATTAATTTGCAATAAAAAGTGAGTACACTGCAATGTTTATAAATTCATTACATTGATAAAAAGATAAGATAAGTATATTTATTTGTTTAATATTCACTCTTCTAATTTGCATCACTAAATTTTCACTGTGTAAATAGAATTTGGCTTAAGTAACGGTTTGAGCTGCCAGGTATTCAACGGGGATGTAGCTCAGTGGTAGAGCGCTCGCTTTGCATGTGAGAGGCCCCGGGTTCAATCCCCGGCATCTCCAAATCAGTTTTTTGCTTTTTTTTATTTTATTAACATTGTATTTTGTGACTTTTGATTTAGTTTAGGTAGGCTGACAGGAGTCAGGACTACTACAAGCCGCCTAAAGTTCAAGTTTACCACACAGGCAACGACATCTCTCTCACCCTATCGCTCCCTGTGAATGTGTGACCTCAGAGCTAACTTGATTTATGCGCAACGAGGCGGCAATAATGAATTATTTATGCCGATTTACGGCTGGCAGGCAGGTCTGCATGTCAATTGGCAAGAGCACTCACTAGTAGTCAGTCGACGGGCCAGGCTAAAATGGTTGGGTGTAACCGCACAGCATAGCACACAGCTGAGCTGAGAACTGACTTTGACTTCTGGCTGCCGTTTTATCCACAATGCAGTCAAGTGGTTAAAATGTTGTTGCTGTTGCTGTTGCTGTTATAGTTGCCTGCACACAGGATATGAACGATATATGTATTTGTATATATGTATAAGAATTGGGGGAAAGCGACGTGGCGACGAGTGCTTTTTGTTTTGACTTTTAGCATGGCAAGGAAATTGCCTGTTCTCACTTTCTCGCAACATTTGCCCGGTTGAAATTAAAATTTAATTTTGCATGAGCCAACCTAATATATACCCACACACACACACCCTCTGCATAGTCAAACATATTGGTTGGCTTAGGCAGGCAATTGATTCTGTGTTGTGGTTCTTGGCCGGGGCTAAGTACATATGGCAATCAAAGTTTTAGTCCTTTAATTGGCAAAAAGCTGGATTTAATTTGATTTCACATATTGTTCATCAATTAGCAGGACAGCAGCAGCAACAACAGCAGCAACAACAGCAGCAGCAACAGCAACAACAGCAGCAGCAACAGCAGCAACAACAGCAGCAGCAACAACCACAGCAGATACACAACACATAAATATAATTATGCCAAGTTTCAAATAAATATGCAGCCTGCAAATTTCAAGCATATTGAAATTAATTACCACAACAAAGTCTGCTTGTGTCACTCCGATCTGTATCTGTATCTGTATCTGTGTGTGTGTAATAAATATTATATACAACAATTGGCTAACCCACACACACACACTCAAACACATTCACTGCATGTAAACGACCCGAAGGCGTAATTTAAATAAAAGAAAATACATATCGAAATTGTCACATGGAATTTATGTAATTGCATAGACGCCAAAAGGACACATACATAAGTAGATACCAGCACACTCCAACACACACACACACACACACACACACACACACACACCAACACACACACCAATGCATGAAAATGGTTTATGGTCTTGCCTTTTTGGCTAGTAAATAATTGAGGTAACAAACTAAACAAATGACATAACCTCAATTTTGTGACGGGCGTGTCAAAGACGAAAAGTGTCCAAAGCACTTGCTTTGGTAATGGATTTGTATTTGCCCTTTGGGTCTGTGGCACTCGTCTGTGGCACTCATAGCCAACCACAAAAAACATTATTTTTAAATTGATTAAAGTCTTAGGGGTGCCATAACAAAATAAATTAAGACT